TGTTCCCATGTCCAATCTAATCCTGCCCAGCCTCCTCCCCATCAGCAGGGATCTGAGCAGAGGGACACTGAACCTCCCACGTCCCTGAGAGCGGGGCTGGGGACAGGGAGCAAGGCTGGGGACAGGGAGCAGGGATGGGGACAGGGAGCAGGGATGGGGACAAAGATCAGGGATGGGGACAGGGATGGGGACAGGGATCAGGGTTTGGGACAGGGATCAGGGCTGGGATCAGGGATCAGGGATCAGGGGTAGGGACAGGGATCAGGGATGTGGTCACCAGGGATGGGGTGACCACCAGGGATCAGGGGTGGGGACAGAGATCAAGGATGGGGACAGGGATCAGGGATCAGGAGATGGGGACAAGGGATCAGGGATGGGGTAGACCATTGGGGATGGGGGTGACCATCAGGGATCAGGGTTGGGGGATCCTAAAAGGGCCCCAAAATTACCTAAAATGGCCCAAAAATTGGCGCAAAAATGGCCCAAATATGACACAAGAAAGGTGCAAAATGACCAAAAAATCGTCACAAAAGACAGAAAAATTGCTCAAAATGGCCAAAAAATGACCCAATAGGTCCCCAGTGATCCTAAAGCGGCCCAAAAAATGCCAAAAAAAGCCCCAAATATGACCCCAGAAATGGTTCCAAAATGACACAAATCTGGCTCTGGAGGTTCCTGGACCAGCCCTCCCTCACCCTGGAGAGAGAGCCTCTCCCAGACCACCAGGGACAGGGATCAAGGATGGGGACAGGGATTGGGGACAGGGATCAGGGATGGGGACAGGGATCAGGGTTTGGGACAGGGATCAGGGTTTGGGACAGGGATCAGGGATGGGGACAGGGATCAGGGATCAGGGATGAGAACAGGGATCAGGGATGGAGGTGACCACCAGGGATCAGGGGTACTGACAAGGATCAGGCATGGGGACAGAGATCAGGGCTGGGGACAAGGATCAGGAATGGAGGTGACCATCAGGGATTAGGGATGGGGGTCACCACCAGGGATCAGGGCTGGGAACACGGATCATGGATGGGGACAGGGATCAGG